TGGCGTCCTATATATTCCAGGGGGGGGGGTATACTATATGTATACAAAAAGGGTTGACAATTTTGATGAATAGGATGTTTTTAATCTAAACTATGGAGCATTTTATCTCAGACTGCCACCGCACAGTTCAATAAAACTCACAAGATAAGAAGGCTGGCTGGGAATATTAAACTTTTTATCTAGTTACCCGAAATCTGTCCGTAGAAAAATGACTGGCATGGGGCTACTGTTGTGTGCGTCATATTTCCGCTGAATGCGTTAAATCATTTATGAATTCATAATGCTTATTTAGTCATTTCTTTGAAATGTGGTGGGTTTTCAACAAAAACTCATAAAAAGGCCCGTGGACACAGCATATTACACTAAATTGATAGCCAACTAACTACGGTATAACCTTTATTTGGGAAAATGAAAATTGTGAACATAGACCTTGTACATATCAATGTTAAAATTATCAGAATTAGTAATTAATCAATGTTAAAACTATCAAACTAATAATAAATATCCCTGTTGATTTCAGAGTACAGAACTTGCCAAGGGACTGCTGGCACTAGGAATGAAGAAGGGAGATTTTCTCACAATGGCTAGCGTTACGGACGCTTCATTAGTCTATGTCATGTACGCGGCAGCTCAAATTGGAGTCATCTTAAATGCGGTACTTTCAGTTCTTGTCCAAATAAAGTAACACTCATAAATTGAAGTAAGCTCTGAGACGGGTTTGGAAGTCACTTAGTACATATTTAGATGTAATACAGAAACCATGGGCTTCCAGAATTACAGACACAGTTTTGTCTTTTACGGTCATTTGACGATATCCATGTTATACCAGTATTTCATACCCAATGTCAAGTTTGATTTGAATCAAATTTGATTAATTTTGCAATGGGATAATACAACTGGTATGAAAGAAATTGAAGTAGTTTATCATTTGTTTTACAGTCATAAAGAAAGTATGCCCTAAACTCAATGTGTCATTCTGTTTCAGCCAGCGTATACGTACCGACCACGTTCGAAATTCTTAGATATGGTTTTGAATCAAGTAGGTGGTGTCACACTTATAATAATAATAATATAATAATAATAATAATAATAATAATAATAATAATATTTTACTTGTACATGTATTGCGCATTTTGTTGTATGTATTTTAATGCAAGTAACAGTAAATGCAAGCGTCATTTTTTCTCTTTGCTTGCAACCGATTGGATTATTAAATATGTGACACTGATCACCAGGTTATGTATAGGTTTGAGTCTATCATCGGTCCACGTGACTCGACACAACTCTGCGAGAACTCTCGCATTGCAATCAATATGACACACCTCACTGTATCTCACGCCTCCTCTCGTTTCCGACGTACAACCATCAGCTTTTCTGTATTCTTCAAAATGCTAGGGGGGGGGGCGTGTTAATCTGTTAAGCTGATTGCACTAAGCGTACATGTAGGCGGAGATGTCTATGGGAATGCTTCCATATGATAACTTAATGCTTTGAAAATATTTAGTTTTTATATATTAGACATACCTGTATCACAGCATTTTGCTGTTAAAAGTAAAACGAGAAAGCTCTGAAAAACAGAAAAACGTTAAAATTTCAGAACACAGCTTTACAAGTTAAAGAGCAGTTTATTGAAATTCATTATCGATTTATACATTTACCGCAACAGAGCGTTTGTCACTGATTAAAGGTTGTCTTTTCAGTTAAAATCCAAAACACTGGTTATAATGGAGAATCCGGACGGATCAAATGTCGCTGCTTTGAAGGAACTTATACCAGACTTGGAGACATTTGGTGGAAGAAACATACAGTCTGAAAGGTAGGTATATCTGTTGGCAGACCCCCCCCCCCCCCCCCC